GAGAGAGAGAGATTGTTTGTGTGTGTGTGTGTGTGAAAGAGAGAGAGAGTGTGTGTGTATGTGTGTGTAGTATCATCGCCACGTCAAACCTTCGAGCGGGGAGGGGAGGGGCCCAATCTCTCTCTCTCTCTCTCGCTCGCTCACTCTCCCTCTCTTTTTCTCTCTCTATCTCTCTCTCTCTCTCTCAATCTTAAATGAGTGAAAGCACCCCTAGAACGTCGAAATATAAACTGACACATCACATCGATATGATGATCAACAACGAATGAATGCACCCCTAGAACGTAGAAATATACACTGTCAGGCTTTGTTTTTCATTGTGTATTGTATGTGGTACCGGATGTATGTATAGCTGTGAGAGAGAGAGAGAGACAGATATGGCAGTCGGTAGGATGATCAATATCGGATGAATCCACCCCTATAACGCGGAAACATACATTGCCTGTGATTTGTTTTCCATTGTGTGCATTGTATGTGTTTGCGCATTTATGTGTTTGTGTGTGAGAGAGAGAGAGAGGGAGAGAGAGAGAGAGACACATAGATGGCGGCGGTTACGAGCGTGCGGGAGACCTTGCCAGGGGTCCAGCGTTTCACAAACGTTCACCCCCGGGCAGGCACCGGGCTACAGGCGGGGTCCAGCGTTTTACAAACGTTGTACCTCCACTAACAACCCGGCCGCCGCTATGCGGGGGTCCAGCGTTTGTAAAAGGCTGGACCCCCGCCAGTAGCACGACCGGTAGAAGGGTGTGTGTGTGCTTGTAAACGGCGGGACCCCCGCATACCGGCTTGTTGAAGGTGGGGGTCCAGCGTTTCACAAACGCTGGACACCTGCCGACAGCCCGACCGGTAGTCGGGGGACCATCGTTTTACAAACGCTGGACCCCTGCCAATAGCACAAGCCGGTCGGCGGGGATCCATCGTTTGTGAAACGATGAACCCTGCCAATAGCACCTACCGGCCGTGCTATTGGCGGGGGTTAATCATTTGACAAACGATGGACCCACGCCAGGCGGCCGTTGTATAGGCGGGGGCTATGAATCCCCCTCGGCAGAATCCGCAGACGCGGCCAGTCCGCAGACCCCGCGGACGTGTCCGCGCGGACGCGCGGCTTTGAAGCCACGTGGCGGCCGCTGGGGAGCAACTTTCAAAATTTGGGATACGCCACGTGGCGGCGCATCCCCGGCCCCACCCCCCCACACAAAAAAAAAACGAAAAAGATCAACTTTTGGTGGGGGGGTATGGGCGAAATCGAACGAAATTGGAAAAAAAAAAAAAACGCGTTGGTTTTTTTTCCCAACTAACATCTTCTCATACACGAGATTGC